TTCGTCACTCAGGGAAAGGCGGCAGCAGCCTCCAGGCACGGGGGGACCGGCCCGGCCGCGCCGCCGCCCTGTACCGGGAACAAGCTGGAAAAGGCGCTCGCGGCCCTCTCGTCACGCTCAAACACACGAGTTTCTTACGTCTCAAAATTGCTTAAAATAACGTTTAGCAATGTTTCGTTTTGAGAGTTTTATTAAATACGTTACATCGGTACCTTGTACTCCATAATCTTTCAATCACTCACAGACTGACTTGCTTACAACTGTATTTTATAGAAAAACATCTGCAAAATTAAAGCTAAAATAAAAAAAAATGTATTACACACCTCTGGACAATCTACATGTTAGCAAAGAATAGCTTTTATTATTTGACCTGAATGTGTGTTTGAACAAGGAACTTTACTCATGAAACAGTACAGACTCCTGGGACGCTTCTGTAACTAGGCTGACTAAAGGAAAACAAGTGCAATAATGTTTAACTGTCTCTTAACAACAGAACAATAAAAAAAAATCTTTTTTAAACCTTTTTTTTTTTCTCCAAAGCCATGCCTTTTGTTCTCTTCCCACAACAAAACATCCAGTGATTATTTCTGCAGGTCACTGTCCTTACACTGCAAGAAGCAAATTTCGTTTTTAAATCATCTGATCCATATTTACACTGAAGCATGCAAAGGGAGGATACTGCAAGTATTTGCAATGCAAATCTGTTAAATACAGCATAACTGAACAACACGTGTCCCTTTAACACTGCAATTCTATTGCCTTTCTCTGTGGTGCGTTTTCCAGTGTATGAATTATAAAACAGCATACAATTCAGAAACAAACCAAATAATTTTGCATTTTTTAAATATTTTCAACTATTAAATCCTCTGGAGAGCTGTGTCTAGCGCCGAAACCAAAGCCAGCTATTGAGTAGCCAGAAAGCTACAGTAATCGAGTACATGATCATTTCTCTTTTAGCACGTTCTTTATTTTCTTCTTCCAGAAGTTGTAGACGTCGATTAAGTTTGATTATCTAAAAATAAATAAAAGATTTTATTAAGACATGCCAGATCTCTCAAAACTTCTTTAAAGACACAGAGTGAACACTTTATACAGACGGATTTTAAATACTTGTTATTTTTACTCCTACCTCTAATGCCAGAGCTTGCATTCCCTAACAGGCAGGAGCAGAAACAGCCGGAACCTCCACCTCCCCGATACAGACTCTGTGAGCCAGCCCAGCAGCACGGACGGAGAGGATCCACCACCCACAGCTTTAGGGCTTCCTTTGCAGCCACACCATTGCATTGCAACAGACAACCTGCTCCCCTATTTCACCTCTACAACCTTTACTTGATATTATTGACCACTATGCTTCACATACCTGTCTTCTTAAGGAGGCGGCATCCACAGCTGTCATGTCATCTGGTGTCCCCTCCAGTGCAGTATCCAGGTTGGAAAGACCATATCTATCAAATAAGGGAGATAGAGATTAGCTGTCTCAGCCATACAGGAAAGATTAGCAAATACGATACTTTATGCTCATTCCAGTAGTATTTTTTGGTGGTGATGGGGAGAATATAGAACTTTTTCACCCTTTATGGAGTTCTATATTTCAATAGGATCCTAACAAGATAAAGAAGCACAAACACCTATGGAAAGGTTAAGTACTTAACTGTATCTCAGTATATTGCTTTCCACATTCAAATGTTTTTGGGATTGTCTGCAGACAGACTTCTTGCTGTGGCCTCAGTCTCTCAAAGACTTTCCAGTATTCCACTGATTCATGAAACCTGAAAATTGCCTCAGCTAAAAGTCTCAATGTTGCATTAAAAACTGCAGCAGATCTGAAACAAGCAAATGAAAACTTGGAAAGAAGACTTTCTTAGTAACTAAAATATTTCAAATTGACACCCACTGAGATTAAGGATCTCGGGCACAATGATTTAGTATTTTAGGCAAAGACTGAGACTCTTGCAAAGAAGCATCTTAG